GGGCTGAATCCAAGATAAAAGTAATAAATTCCAGATCCGAAATTAAATAACTTGGACGGTATGGGACCATGTTCAAGTTAGCAAATGCCGAGTTAATGCTCAATGACTATTAATAAATATGAGGATGAAAACATGCAATAAATGTGATAAATGGAATTAAATATAATAAGAAGGAATTTGTCACCCAAATGTTGGGTGAGATGGATGATTCCTTCCTCTGACTACAACGTGTGACAGCAGACGATGGAAATGAACTATGTGTTCTTGGATCTTGTGAACTAAAGAGGAATGTTATGTAATGGAATCAAACAAAGGAGACAAGACAAGTTTTTTGTATATTCTTCATACTCAACTCTTTACAAGGATCTTTTATAAAAGTTCCGAATCCCCCTTTGTTTCCTCTCTCTTCCTATTTATAAGAGATAACCTAGAAAATCCTAAAAAAGTACAATATGGGAGAATATTCAATAGAATATTCCTATTCATAATTGAATCTACCTACAAAAAGGTCACTTCGCATACATGGAAGCTACATTTGCAAGACTAACTCATGAAGTCAAGAGTGAAGCATAAGTGTCATATTTGCATATATAGAATCTACGTACACATAGGTCACTTCGCAGACATGGATTTCACATTCGCAAAAGTGGAACATGACAAAAGCTACTCATCTTTTCCTATAAATAACAAGCTCTCTTTGTATAAGGATATCCAATCTTTGTAAGACAAGAACTAGTCTTGGTCTTCTTTCTTTGCAGTAAATATATTTCCTTAGTCTTTTAAATATTTCTATTCTTCTAAATATCTTTTTTAGCTTTTCTTACTCCATAATGGAGTAATCTCTTTTGGTTGGGATAGTTGATGAAGCTTGATATATTTTATAATACTATCTCAGTTTTTATAATCTTGGCTTGAAACTTTTTATTTATATTTCATACTGTGCTGAAATGATGGTTTTTAATTACTCAATCATCACATCTATATATTTTATCTCTAACGGGGTTTCTGTCAAAATGCTTAGACATTTAAATGCTTTCAACTATGGTTTTCTTCTTTACTATTTCGACCGATTCTTTTTGAGTTTCATCTCTATGCCTTTAGCATATCCTACGGTTTTGATTCTCTGACTACTTATCCTGTTGTCTTTTGCCTGTTACCTTTAACTCTGTCAATTAAATTATTAATTGATTTACATACATAAATTAGGGTTTGAATTTAGTACCTCTGAACTTAAGAAAACTAAAGATTAACAACTTAAGGAAACTAAAAACTAACCCTATTTTCCAGGCGGGACACCTGAACTAAAGAAAAACTAAAAACTCTTCTGACTAGGGAGAATGCCTAAGAGGTACGGCTCTTCTTAACTAGGGGAATATGTAGGAGGTGAAAGCCTCCTCAACTAGGGGAATGCCTAGCAAGTAAAAGAAAACCTTCTCAAACAGCCTTTGTGATTACTAAACTTGGGCATGACAAAAATTCAAGCTTCCAAGCTTTGATTTGATCCTTCATCCTTTCCTATTTCTTTCCCATCCGAACCAGAACCAGTTCCTTCCCCTGCTGCTCCTCTCCCTGAACTAAGGAGATCCACTAGATCTCATCAGCTTTCTTCCCACCTTCAAGATTATGTGGTTCAGCTTCCTCCATCTATCTCTTATTCTTCTACTGCATCAACTGTTGCAGTTGAGCCCCACTCATATACTCAGGCTGGTGCTAGTCCAGCTTTGCAGGAAGCCATGAGGAAGGAGTTTGAGGCATTGGAAGCAAATAAGACTTGGGGAATTGTTGAACTACCCAAGGGGGAGAAAGCAATTGGTTGCAAGTGGGTGTTTAAGATCAAATAGAAGGCTGATGGAAGTGTAGAAAGATACAAAGGGAGGCTAGTTGTACATAATTTGCAGATTTTGGATACCAAAAGAAATAGCCTACGACAATGGGCCACAATTCATAGGCGCAAAAATAAAAAAAACTCCTCGAAAATTTAAAAATCAAGAGGATCACATCATGACCTTATCATTCGAGCGCAAACGGCCAAGCAAAATCAACAAACAATGTGATCATAAAAAAATCTTAAAAAGAGATTGGAAATAGCTAAAGGAAAATGGCCCGAAGAGCTTCCAAGTGTAGTATGGGCGTATTGAACAACAACCAAATCAAGCACGAGGGAGACTCATTTTTCTCTTGTTTACGGGGCAGAAGCTCTGATCCCAGCGAAAGTAGTTGAACCTACCAGGAGATATTTTCGGTCAGACGAAGAAGCAAACAGTGAAGCGTTAGTCAATTTGGAGATGCTCGATGAACGCAAGGACTTGGCGCATATAAGGATGGCAGTTCAAAATCAACGAATAGAGAGATATTACAATCGAAGGGCCAACCTCCGTTACTTCAAAGTAGGAGACTTGGTTTTAAGGAAAGTAACTCAGAACACCTGGAGCTCAATACGGGAAAGCTAGGTCCAACATGGGAAGGACCCTACCGGGATTTAGTCATCACCGGGAAAGGATCATACAAGTTAGATAATCAAGAGGAAGAAAAGTTTCCAAGAAACTGGAACGTGGCACACCTCAAGAGATACTATTGTTGATGAACGTCACATGTACTGAAAGTATGTGTTGCACTCATTTTTCATTCGTCCGGTTTTTTTCCTAATTGGATTTTTCTGGAAAGGTTTTTAATGAGGCAACAACAGAAAGCATAGTACGAAAGAAGTTTCAACAACAGTAATAAGACCTTTTAATAACAAGGCACATAAGCGAAGAATCTCTACGGAGCGGTTAGATAGTCTTTTGCTCGATAGCAAAGTTCCTACCGGGAAGTTGAGTTTGTTCGATAACTTGACCGTTCACAATTGCAAGCCACTAGGGATTGTTAGATAATCTTTGGCTCTTCTGGATCAGATGCTTCATCATCAATACCACCTTCGAGTGCTCAATCAGCATCGAACCTGGATGAGTTAGTCACGTGTTTGATTCCTGCACTAACAGAGTACATAGTTCCTGTGCGAACTGCTCATATGCTTCCAGTATTGACTGAGTGGGTGCGTGAGATGATTTCATCACCCTCACTGACTTCTACTGACCACCCATCAGATGTGGTACCAACAGTTCATGCTCCTACTACTACTGCTACTGTTCATGGGGTTCGTCCATCGGTTTCAGATGATGATCTTAACCCCTAAGCCTCGTATTTGAAAGCTTTTTGTTTTGAACTTTATTGTTGGTGTTATGGAAAATTCACACCTTTTTGGTTTGAACTTTATTATTGGTGTTAGGTTAGCTATATGCATTTTGATAATTCGAACAGCGGGCATTTATATATGCATTTTGATATCATTTTGATAATTTGTATGAATTTTAGTTATTATTAAAGATATCTAATAAATATTGCGACGGCTATTTTTTGTAACAAAAATAAATATATGAAATAACATTGCGACAGATTGCAACAGACGATTTTGGTCGCCCAATGCAAAGCTGAAATGAGTCTCAAAATATTGGCGACGGATTAGCGACCGGCTTTCTGTCGCAAATGTATGCCAGCGACGTAATGCATTGTGAATTTAGCGACACAATTTTCTAATATAGCGACGGAAATTCTGTCGCTAACGTTAGCAACGGACAGTGTTCGTCGCTGGAACGTTGCTAATTTAACGAGTCCATTTTTCCGTCGCAAAGAGCTTAGCAACGAGCAAATCAGCAACACCTGGTAATCCGTTGCTAACCCGTCGCTAATTCTGCTTAGCGACGACAAAAGGCTCTTTAGCGACGGATTTGGGTCGTCGCTAAATGCTATTTTTTTGTAGTGCAATAGCATAAATTCCTAAGGGGAAGCGAAGTTTGTTATTGAACTGAAGATTATCTAGCAATTCACTAATCGAATCCTTGAAGGTATAAAACTCCCAATGTTCTAATTCGCATTCTTCGCATTCGAACACTAGGGGGAATGATATGAGGATATGGCAATAACGACTGCCACTTCAATTAGAATACGAAAATCAAAAACATAATTGCATCATCGGGACCAGGGACTACATGACCAGCCCCATAGAAACAAGTTGTACAAGTTAGCCACAAGAAATGGCAATTTCTTTTTATTAGCACAACGAATGCTTATGTACTTTTGAGAATGGAAAGAATAAAGTAAAGTCCTTTTATTTCTATCTTGTTTTTTGTCTGAACGATGAATTTATTTTATCATTTGAAAGTTAAACAAGCACTTCAAATGCTAGTGTCGTAATGAAAAGGGCAAAGCACATATGAGATGAGAGTAGAAATGGACCTCAATAATAAACTCCTCACTATTAATGAGAAATCAGCTACAGTAGACACCGATGGACTGAATGTGCAAGAAAATTTTTGATTAACTTTGTTTGATTGCAATCAAATGAATTCCGGCAACAAATATTTGAAACAAACAATAGTAAATAAGCAGGAACTTGAACCAGCAACCAAATTCGAATGGCAAACTCGACTTCGTCTCAATCGAACTCCATTTGAACAAAATCTGAAATTGAATTGAAGAAACAGAGATCTACTTTTTGATTTTTTTTTTTGTATTTTTTCGAAATTAACTATGTCAAGAAATCTGAATAATGAAGAAGGTAAACAGAAATTTTCCTTTCTAAACCTAGCTCCTTTACTTCTCGTCACTCTTTCTCTATTTGTTCTCTATTTATGCGTGTGTGTGTGTGGCTGTTTTGGGGCAGCAGAGAGTGGTGGTTTGCTCGTACGGCCCGATCCAATAAATATTTAAACTGTGCACTGCCAGAGAGTCGAATGGCGCGAACCATAGATGCATCTATTTAATCTACCGAGGCGTTCGGCCCGTTCTACAATAGATAAACACATTCAAACAGTCAAATCAAGAATTCATCAAGTAGCAATTATTCAGGAAAAGACAAGCTTCTCTTTTAAAAGTCAAGAAATGATGTATACCCTTTTAGAAATTTATTTATACGTTCGATATCAGCAACAATAAGGAAAGATGGAGGGAAAGGTAAAAGAGTGGCTGAGGGAGGATTGGAAGAGCAGGCACAAGCTAGCTGTTCTACCAGTCATATTGGTGTTGCTAACAGATTTGAGGTACTCACTCAAGGTTGTATCTCATCTTTTGTGGGGCAAGGTGGGCATGACCATCCCATACCCCCATGATTATAGAGGTACTCTTCCTTCCTTATATGCCAGGCTAGCATCCTCCCCTATTCTTAGAGCCTTAAATCTGTTCTGATGTAGTATAGCTTCAATATTCTCCTCAGACATAACATTCCTTATTGATGTTTTCACCTTGGGACTTTGCACCTGTTTCCCTTTTGATTTGGCAACCTGGAACTCATCATTTTCCTTATGCTCAATCTCTGTAGGGACTACTTCTTGCCTTGTGTCAATCATAAGCTCCAAAAATCTTCTTCGTTGATATACGTCTTTCCTTTAACATGCATGTATATATACGTTTGACAGAATGAAGTAATCAAACCAAAATATTAAGCATAATAGAATCATGTGCTAAGGCAAAAATAGTGAAGAGGCTGGTTTTCACTTCATCTGCTGGAACTGGTGACATTGGGACTAATATTGGTAGTCAATTAAGAGTGAATTTTGAACATTTTATATTATGTGTGTCATATGAAATATATCGAGAGTGATGTTTTTCTATGAAACTAAGATATTACCTTTAATAATCACGTTACTACTATAATCTGCAGATTCCTAAATTTCTACATAGATGTAAGGCTTGAAAGCATTCAAAATAGTGAAGAAACTCTTGCATATAAACCGATTAATAAGGCAAACTCTGAGACGCAAACTCTGTTTCTCTCCCGGCGCATGTTAACTAAACGTTCGCATCCATGGGGAAGAGGACTCGGATTCCTACTCAGAAGATGATTGGAGCAAGGGAATCGTGTAAACAAGCCATAAAGATGACGAAGAAGCGAGGAAATCAAGTAAATCAAGATATAGTGGAGAATCGCAGCAATTGTCAAAACCTAAAAATGGCGAACGATGAAGGTGAAATTGAGCAAATTCGAGGCAAGGAGAAGGAAGAGAATAAAAAAGAAACGCCATGCAGAATCGAATTACCATCACAATTGGAAATTGATTCAGCAATTGAAGCAATGTCCAATGGAACACTAATGGTGGGGAAAGATAAAGTTGTGGAAAAAGTGGAAAAATTGAAAACGGCTGTGCAGGAATGGGAGGAAGGAACATAGATACAACAATCTGGGAGAAATCAAGTGCGTAGCAACTTTTGTATGAGTTTTAATGGCTGCTTGTTAAAATCGTGAATTTTAGCCAACTTCTGTAAAAGCCATGAAGTTATAGGTATTTGGTTAAATCGAAATAAGAGTTCAATAAAGCATGAATAGGCTTCAGGCAATTAACTCATTAGTAATAGATGAAATGGCTTTTTATTTTTAAGTATATTATAATTTCCTTTTTTCTTTTGTCAAAGTTATGGTGTTGCATTTGTCTAGCATGTACCAAATGTTGCTCTTCACTCCATATATTAAAAGTTACGGTGTCTGCACTCTCATTTTCATGTCTCAAAATATATCCCAAGTTCTATGTTTTAGTGTAAATGCCATAGAAAACATATTGTTAGAAATTAACTATTTGGGTGCTTAGATTGAATGTTTTCATGTTTACTAATAAGTTTTAAAAGTGGTTTGCTTCACAGAGTTCGTGTCTAAAAATAATAAGATTTAAGACCTTTTATATAGATACTACATATATAGAAGCCACTGCCTTAAGATGAACATTTGAAGAATACTTCATGTTTGAAACATTTCTTCTTGTGTGAGTTAAGAAATATAAATAATTATTTTTATAGATCAAAAAAGGAGTCAAAGATATATTGAGATATATCAAAGAGGAAATATTTTATTGGAAGAAAATATCATGGTTTATTTTAAGGAGCAAATCTTTTACATTGGTCAAGGAATCTCTTAAGGAAAGATATTATACATCAAGCTCACCGAAATACTTTGAAAGACACAAATAAATGGTCTAGGTTCAAAAAGACTTGCGAAACAAAATACTTACTACGGATACAATGGAAAGTACTATTCTTATGGAAATTCAACTATTACCACAAAATGGAAAGAAACATCCATATTCTCCATTGAAAGAGAAGTTAGACGTATGGAAACATGAGGCCAAGGAATTGAGTTATTGGAAACAATCAAGAATGAGTAATTACTACAATCATGGAAAAGTAAATCATGGTGATCATGATTGAACCATCATGACTATTCTCACGTAGATATTCATAAGTTGTAGAGAATTATTAATCATGGATCTATTCAAGGAAAGAATTGATATTGGCATCATGCTTGGAAATTCAAGTTGTACAATTCAAAAGGAAAATTTGCATTGACAGAAGATATCCAAAATCTTCCTTATAGAGCAATGTCAGCAACGGTCATATTGGAGGCAACAATATAAATTGAAGAGCAACCGAGAAGAAGAATCACGCAGCCTTCTATACAATTGTCTATCCAACTACAAGTTCTATATTCTACTCTTAACAAGCATTGTACGAGGGCGTTTTTGTCAACTTTTCGATCGAAGGTTAGGAATTGTTATAAATTTGATTATTATGAGTAATTGAACATGTATTAATGGATTTGCATAATTATTGGCTAGTTTTGGAGCGTTGTGCATCAATTTAAGTCTTCGAAAGGGCGTGGAATGCCGATTATGGAACTTCGGAGCGAGGTGAGTCTCCTTTCTAACCTTGTAAGAGGGAATTGTCCCCATAGGTGAATTAATTAGATTTGTGCCTATTTGTGGGGGCTACGTATGCACGAGGTGACGAGAGTCCGTGCGTAGCTACTATTATGTTTAAGTCTGGGTAGTCTAGGACCCAAAAGCATGCTATACTTGGAATAATTGTACTCTTATTAACAGTTTGAATTGCTTAAATTACATCGAGTTAGTAAATGAATCTCAAAAAAAAGATTAAACTTAATTTTCTTGAATTGTTAAAAGAGAATTGGCTTTTCTTTTGATAAATTGCTCCTTGCTGAGTATAAATGGCAACAGAGACTGAGATATAATAAGCAAATGATAGATGTGAGTGAGTACATAACTGCAATTTAAGCAAATAATTCAACTGCAGAAACGATCCCTGTGGGTCCCAATAGTACTAGCATATAGCCTAAACATGATATCTAATATGGATCACAGCTCAATTCATCTAACACATGGAGATGACATGAATAACAACAAGATTGGGTAACTACATAGTTCCACGGAATCAACCGAGTCACAATCACTACGATGCACCGTCATACACCCATCACCTAGCATGTGTGTCATCTCAATACCGACCACTTAACACGTAGTTCAGGGATTCATACCCTCAGTACCAAGTTTAGCACTGTTACTTACCTTACTCCGCACAAATATCTGCTCCAACAAGCCCTTGCGTAAACACCGAATGACTCGAATCTAGCCACAAACAACTTAATACAATCAATACAAGCTATAGGAATCAATTCCATATGATAAAGCTAGGTTCTTTAATCACAATCAATAGGTCAACTAAAAATGTCAACTCCGGGATCGCGTCTCAAAATCCAACAAAATTTACCAAATTTGAACACCCATTAGATAACGGGTCCAACCATACCAAAATTAATCAATTTCGACCTCAAATCGTCACTCAAATCCCTAAATCTTACTCTCAAATTCTTAGTCAGAATTCCCAAAATTCCACCTTAAAAACACATAATCTAGGTGGGAAATTCAATGGGTAATCAATATTAATGAATAAAAATGGTCAAAAGTGGCTTACCTCTTGAAATCTAGTGAAACCCCTCTCAAAATTGCCACTACCCGAGCTTGCAAAGTCCAAAAATGAGAAAAACCTCAAAACCCTCGATTTTATGAAGTCTCCCAACTATCTCGCACCTGCGAGCCAAAACTCCGCATCCGTGGTGAAAGTTCCACACCTGCGGAACTCACTTATATTCCTCCACTCTGCATCTGTGCCCCCAAGACCACATCTACAGAAGCGCTTCTGCGCCCAAACGTTTGCTTCTGCGAAACCACCTGACCACCTCAGCCTCATTAATTTCTGCTTTTGTTCCGCAGGAGCGACTCCACTTCTGTAGACCACCTCTCGCATATGTGACCCAGCAGAACCCAACTCTCCTTCGCACCTATGCATTGCTAGTCGTACCTGCGACTCCGCACCTGCGGCCACTCCTTCTGCAGGTGCGATGACACCAGACATCAGTTGCTTCAGCTTCTAAGTCCAAATTTCAATCTGTTAACCATCTCCACCCAAGGCCCCGGGACCTCAACCAAATATACCAACAAGTCCTAAACACGATACGAACTTAGTCGATGCGTCAAATCACAATAAACAACATCAAAAACATGTATTGCAACCCAATTCAAGCCTAATGAAACTAATGGATTTCCAACTTCTACAACCGATGCCGATAACCTATCAAACCAACTCTGATTGACCTCAAATTTTGCATAACAAGTCATAAATGACACAAAGTACCTATTCCAGCTTCCGAAACCAAAATCTGAGCCTGGTAACCAGAAAGCTGAGCTTAGAGAAACTTTTCCGACACCAATTACATTTCCCTTGGATTTGTCTCCAAATGTGATTGTTCCTCTATCTAGTTTTGTGAATGTCTTAAACAATTGTTTGTCACTAGTCATATGTCTAGAACACACGCTGTCGAGATACCATTTTCCTTTTCGATTCTTCTTGCAGTGTTCCTGTAAAACAAAATTACTTGTTTTTAGGTACCCAAGCTTGCTTGGGTCCTGAAAGGTTAGAATGCTGAGTGTTAGTTTGATTTGAAGATTTTGGTCGCCAGACCCATCTTCTGTTATCCTTGAACCTGCAGCGATTTGAGGTGTGGCCCTTTTTACCACAATAAAAACAACATGGACTATTTGAATTCTTAAAATCTTTTTCTGCCTTGATTTTATTCATGCATTGGTTAGTATTATGCCCATTTTACCACAAAAGGAACACCCATTTAATTTCTTCTATTTGTGACGAACAGTCTGATTTGATTTGACTGAACTATGACTGTTGAAGTTCATTAACTTCTTCTTGTAGCATATCACGTTCGATTTCACAAACTTCTAGCTTCAGGGCCCATTCTTTCTTTTTTTCTTTGAATCTTTCTGAGCTCATTTAGAACTCTTTCAATATCTGTAAGAGCAATATCAACGAATTATTGGAGTTCATAACAATTAGGGCAATTTAGAGGATGTACTTCACTAGTTCCCTCATCTTCCATGAGACCACGTTGATCTGAGTCTTCTTCTTCATTTGTTCCTCTGTTTCCTGAGAACGCACTCTCTCCTGATTCTTCATTGTTATCATCTTCTATGGCCATGAAGCACATATTTGCAATTTCTTCATGATCAGACTCTTCTTCATCACTCCAGGCTCCAAAAGACTTCTTCCTTTGAAGATTTCTACTCAGCTTCTTTTTTAGTTCTGGACAGTCAGCTTGAATGTTTCCATGTTTACCACATTCGTAGCACCTTCCATCATTTTCATTATTTATCCTTTCCTTTCTGAAGTTTGGTTTACCTCTTCTGCTATTTGTGTTTTTCTTCATCATGCTAGTTACAACTTGAGAAAGCATTGCTATATTTTCATCCTGTTCTCCTCCTTCATTTTCTTCTTCATCTTCTGGTTCAGCCACAGTTGCTTTGAAGGCAACTGTTTTCTTCTTTTCTTCTTGAATCTGTCTATCCAAGTGAGTTCTCAAAAGCTATTAAATGATCTCTGAGTTTATCGTAGGACATTTATCAAGATCCCGGCATTCGAGTGCGATGACCTTTGGCTGCCAAATCGTAGGTAGACTTCTGAGAATTTTTCTGACTTGTTCTCCGCTTTTTATTGTTCTACCAAAGGATTTCAGATCTCCAAGAATTTTGCTGAACCTGGAGAACATTTCTTTAGCAGATTCTCTGTCCTTCATTTGAAATAGCTCATACTCACGAACCAATAGATTTATCCTCGTTTCTTTTACCTTGTTGGTCCCTTCATATGTGACTTCCAATTTGTCCAACATCTCCTTAGTAGTTTCACAACTTGAGATCTTTTCATATTCTTCACCACTGATAGCATTGTACAGCAGATGTTTTGCTTTGGCATTCACAATTATCACAGTAGTTTGCTCATCAGTGTAGTCATCTAAGTCAAGTACTCGGTACACTTATTCTTAAATTCCCTAATTCTAGATTGTCTATTATTTTCTTGAATAACACCAACTGCTCTTCTAACATGAGTAATCTCAGTTGAAAATAAATCAAGGCCACTTTTAACAATTAAATTATAAACATGACATGCACACCTAACATGAAAAATTTCGGCAAGTGGTGGTTGCAAATGCAGTTGTTATTGAAATTGCGGCAATCATTATCAAAAGACATACACAATACTTTTTGCTTGAGATTATACAATTCAACAACTTCACAAATAGTAGTACTTATAAATACAGCAGTATGGCTCTGATCTTCATCATATTTAAAAGCGATAATA